TTCCTATTTCCTGTTGCCGATGGCGTTATTAAATCAGCTTGCTAAACATTGAATTGCATTTAACATATACAACATATACAAAAACATATATAACATGTACAAGGGTTCAATAAATTCAGTAGGCACTGTATGTCCGGAATCCAAAATAAAACATTTATATCTCGGAAAGTAATTGTCTACACGTATCCGGTTCATGTCATCCAGTTTTTTTTTTTCCCATGCCCGGCTTACGCGCATGCGCAGCCACATTTCTGCCACCATGTTAGGAATCACTTGGGCAGAGTGATGACTGGGAGATAGATCGGCAGAACTGGATCAATCGCTTGGCCTCCTGGGTCGCCAGATTTAACTCCACTGAATTCTTTCTTGTGGGGTTATGTGAAGAACATTGTATACCAGGTTAAGATCGATGACCTGCAACACCTGAAAGTCCGCATAAGGGACGCTTTGGCTATGGTAACACCAAACATGATGGATCATCTGGATATTTGGCGTGCCACCAAGGGAGCCCACGTTGAAATTTATTGATAAAGTTTTTATACTCAGAAAAAAGACTTTGATAGTTTACTTTTGTAGTGGTGTAACCCATAAATGCGTCTAATGAAAGCTTTCCCAAATATAACAATTTTATCTTGGATACCTTTCATCCAGACACCCTGTATATATATAACCACTGTATGAATGAATTAATTAGTTAATTAAACTACTTTATTCTGAGTTCAGGTTGCAGCGTTCCTGATGTGATAAATGACGTGGGGCGGACAATAGACCATTATCGGCCGTGACGCAAGTGCGACCGTACGCCCCACCCTTTCTGTTGCAATTAACAGAAGCCTAACATTTTTTTTATTGTAATTTTTTTCAATATGCACTATATCGAAAAATGTAAAAATATAGAATTTCAGACCTTGTTTATTGGTAAGCTTTTTAATCTCTCTGTTTCTGCGTGAGCCGACCGGAATCGCCGCGCGGGCCAAGGCATGAAAATACGTATCTACGCTCACTTCAACGCTGGGATCATGGACTTTCTATGCGTTGCCCTGTGTAAGTAGCGGCCTCGTTCAGTGAACCCTACCAATCGTCTAAGATTAAGAAACTGAAGTGAAACAATACGTTTCCCGGATGTCATGTGCACCAAGTAGAGAAACAGGAACGAAGATAGGTAGGTAGGTACGTAAGCAAGTGGGTGGGTAAGTAGTTAGTTTCTGTGTGATGGACCGTGGAAAAGGAATCTAGCGTCCAACTTGTGCTTTGTGAGGTAAACTCACTCACTCATGGAGCTGAGCCCTTCTTGAGAGGCTGCCAATTGTGCAGCTATTCAAGAACTTCCCAGGATTTTATGGAACCCGAAGGTTCACTACCGTGTTCACAAGAGCCCTCCAGCGATTCCTATCCTGAACCAGATCAATCCAATCTATGCTATCCCATCCTACCTCTCTGAGATCCATTTTAATATTGTCCACCCACCTACACTTTGGTCTTCCCAGTGGTCTCTTTCCTTCTGGCTTTCCCACCAATATAATATATATGCATTCTTCTCCCCCATTCATTGTGTGGGGTAAAAGTTACTGTAATTCGATGCTGACCAATATGAAATTCGTTCAGCAGTTTCACTGAAATATTTTTAAGTTGTTTTGCGAATCAGCCCTGTGGATACACACGCGTATCTCCGCATTGTGTATTCATTTTATACGTTTCATGCAAGTAGCGCATAGCAATAACAACCGATCGGCGGGAGTCGACGCTGACCACTCGAGTGCTGTTCCGAGCTCTCTATTGTGTCACTAGGCTTGCATAAAGCATGGGGGTTACTACATGCTGCACTTGTGAGCGGTACTGCGTTCGTCCTCTGTGCAGCTATTCCCATATCTTCCCTATATTCCTTTTTCTTTCCTTCTGGGGGCATGCGGTAGTGTTGTTGGTTGAGGCACTGTGCTACAAGGCGGAAGGTCGCGTGTTCGAGTCCCGATGAGGTGGCTTTCTTTTTCTCAGTTTAACTAATTCTTCCAGGCGCCCTATGGCCCTGCGGTCGACTCAGCTTCTAGCAGAAATGAGTACCAGGAATCTTCCTGGGGGGTAAAGGGCGGCTGGCGCGTAAGGCTGACAGCCTTACCGCCATCTGTGAGCCGATTGTCTAGAAAATGTGAGAGCCTCGACGTCTCACAACCCTATGGGCCTTCACGGCCTGGTACAGGGATAGCTTATTTTTACCTTCCTCTTTCCTTTAACTACTTGTGTCCCTCTTCCTTGCCTCTCTCATTATCTTCATTTCGGCTTTCAGTTTTCTATTCTACTTCACTACTCCCAGTGAATAAAAGAATTGCCAATTTTATTGTTATATCGAAGTTTTGTTTGTTGCATATAAAATAGCATTCATTTCGGGAGAATAGACATGTGTAGTTTTACTGCATAGTTGCCCAGCTTTTCATTTTGTCAAACGGCCCATAAATTTTTTCTCATTCCAGCAGAATAAAATGTATGGACCCTGAGTCATTCTTCCGCCGTTTCATCCCGTTGCTGATATTCATTTCAGACGAAGTTTCATAAATGCACATTAATTTTGTTGTTCCGAATGCGTTTATGAATTGCTTCTTGAGCTTAACACGTGTTAGAGTCATGGTTGTCCAGTACGCTCGCCATCGGCACTCGCCAAACTCCTTTGAGCTTTTACCTGTTTACAAAAATTCATTTGGTTCACGCGGTTATCGTCCTTCTGTAACTGATCTGTCACTGTTCTGTAAGTTTCACTAGTTCACACATTCAGAACAGTACTCCTGCTCCATATTATGGAGGTCCTGAGTTCAGTTCTCGGCCCGGAAACCTGTCATACTGACTTTCTTTGTAAATTCCTGCAGGCAAATATCGGGATAGTGCCTTAAATTAGTCCGTAACCATTTCCTTCCACCTCATTCTCAATTAATTATTTACTAATCGTCCTATCACTCGATGAGCCAGGATAGCTCAGTCGGTATAGCGACTGGTTACGGGCTGGACGACCGAGGGGTCGGAGTTCGAGTCCCGCGGGGGGTCAAGAATTTTCACCTCTCCACGTCTTCTAGGCCGGCTCTGGGGGCCACCCAACCTCCCATCCAATAGGTACCGAGGCCTCTTTCCCCGGGAGTAAAGCGGCCGGGGCGTGAAACTAACCACTCACCTCTAACTAGTGCCGAAGTAAAAGAAATATGGATGTATACATCCACTCCCCCATACTCCTTCATGGCACAGTGTTTAATTAGTTAACCACAGAGACAACTTTACCTTTACCTATCGCTCGAAGTTCCGACAGAGTCGACAAAGAACCCCTAAAATATATAAGTTTTCATATCCTCCGACCACAGGAATAGATTACAGAGCGCTGTTCATTAGTGCGGTATGTTGTTAATAGAGCAGTCATGCGAACACACATCACAATATTGGTATTACTCAGAAACAAAATCAGCGAGGTGCAAATGAGGGTAGGTTTATGTCAGCCTCTTCTCTCTCTTCCTCTCTTCCTCTTCTTCCTGCCTCTCCCCCCCCCAGCACCGTCAGTTACATTCTCGTGTACAGCTTGTCGTGTGGTTACATATTTTACTGCTGTCGTTTTTGTTTTCATCCGCATTCCTCCTTCTGTATCAGGTACTCTACAAGGGGAGAAGGTGGGTAAGATAAGCCACGTTCTAACGAGTAGGGGGAGACTCAGCTCATGTACAGAGTTTCCATAAAAATAATCACTCACTTATGGAGCTGAGCCCTTCTTGAGAAGCCGCTAATTGTGCAGCTACTCAAGAGCTTCCCATCTTTTTATGGAACCCGAGAGTTCATTAGCGTGTTCACAAGAGCCCTCCACTGATCCATATTCTGAGCCAGATCAATCCAATCCATACCACCCCATCCTATCTTTCTAAGATCCGTTTTAATATTATCCACCCACCTACGTTTTGGTCTTCCCAGTGGTCTCATTTTTTCTGGCTTTCCCACCAATATTCTATATGTATTCATCTTTACCCCATTCGTGCCACATATCCCGCCCATCTCATCCCCATAAAAATAATTACATACCTTAAATTTAAAAATATAAATCGAATGCTGCAAGATCAACAGATCATGTCTTACAAAGAACTATTATTTCGATGGAAGACATGTTTGTAGCTCGACATAGGCTTATATCCGTCTGTAAATCAGCTGTTGCCATGCCCTCTTGTGTTAACTGTAGCTTCCTGTTTTCTTCTTGAGGTACAGTTTATCCTTCGCAGAACCCAAAAAGATTAATCTGCCGGACTGAAACTGGATGAACGCAGAGACCAGTAAATCGAACTGCTCGTAATAGATTTGTATGAATCATTCAAATAACTGTCTAGTCCACTACGAATGTTGGATGGCAGAAGACGATTTATCAGTTCTTCCGTGATCTGTGTTTCAAGACTGTGAGCAATACGGCCGCTACACCAGTGTTTCGATCGGTCGTCCTTTGGTTGTCCGTCCCCCAAATTCTACCCAGGTTATGTCATAGGCCTGGCATTCATCTCGCCACAGCTGACGATGCTGTGTATTTTACAAGTATCTCCGTTGTAATCTTTCGTTTTCTTTTGTGTTGAACATTATTACTTGTATGCCTTCCCTCTCTGAGCCGGATAGTGACTGGCTACGGGCTGGACGACCGAGGGGTCGGGAGTTCCAGTCCCGGTAGGATCAAGAATTTTCGCTTCTGCACGCCATCCAGACCGGCTCTGAGGTCCAGCTATCCTCCTATCCAATGGGTACCAGCAGCTCTTTCCCAGGGGGGTAAAGTGGCCGGGGCGTGAAGCTGATCGCTCGTCTCCAACTAGTGCCGAGGTCAAGAAAATGTGTATCTATAAATCCACAGCCACACACGCCTTTAATTAGTTAAGACCAGGAACAGCTTTATAGTTTTAACCCTTGTGCCTTCCCTGTGCCTTTTGAGGCGCTTAATGTGCCTGGCTAGGCGGTGAGAAAGAAGGGCCAGAGTGCCTCAATAATGGCGTGTTCTTGTGCTGCAGGTGATTTGTGCCATCCTCTCAACTGCAAGAAGAAGGAACTGTGTCTTCTGGAGGACGCTTTTACTGCCGTGTGCGTGAGCAAGAAGGAGCTGCACAAGAATGGGTAAGTCCCAGAGACACATGTGACCTAAGTACAAAAATGCGACAGTCGTTCGTTAAGCGAAAAATAGTTCAAAGAAAATCAATTCTCCGATCGGTGTTTTCGAATTTACAATGTTTTTAAACGAAGTCAAGTCGTAACATCCATATTGCTTACTTAATTGAAAACAGGAATACCAAGAAAGCAAGACATGTGGCGGAGAACGACGAACTACATTGACTTCATTTAAAAACATTGTAAATATAAAGACACTGATCACAGTAGCGCAGAAGTGACAGAAGTTCTTCCGGATTTCAATGTGCCTGATGATGGCTGAGTAGGCCGAAATATGTAGTGCAGTGTAAGTAAAAAGTAAAGTAAAGCTATCCCTGTAACAGGCATTGGAGGCCCACATGGTTGTGAGATGTTGAGGTTCCCACATTTTCTAGACAATCGGCTCATAGATGACGGTAAGGTTGTCAGCCTTACGCGCCGGCCGCCCTTTACCCACAAGAATTTTCGAAGAATATTCCTGATACTCATTTCTGTTAGAGGCTGAGTCGAACCCAGGGCCATAGAGCGGTTGGAAGGAATTGGTAAATAGAAAAAATCAATTACGTCATCAGGATTCGATCCCGCAACCTTACGAATTTTGAAAGGATTTAATTTTAAATCTTGATATTGTTGAATGGTGGACGGTAAACAACTGAAAATAAATTATAATAATCGCAACAGAATGGTAAGATACAACATTATCTTGTAAATCTGTGTACATATGTTATAGTTTAGCGTCCTGTTGCACTGACTCATTAGATGTGACGAATATATATTTTAGTCATTTTAGTACGAAGACATTAAGGCATGCAACGCAGTAGTTAGACGTGCATAGAGAAAACGCACCTCAAGATGGCACATTAGTGCTGAAACATTAGTGCAAAAGAGAAGAGTAAGGTGAAAAAAAGTGTATGCACTGTAAGATGGTTTGCATAAATCATGGACCTGTGTACATATGTTGTGGAAAATGCAACTCCACGCAGCTTTCGTGAGGAGCCATTGTATTCCGGCTTTCTACTGGAGGGCATGGCTCGGTTTATGACAGAGGTATTCGGTATTTCATTACTATACCCATAACGGCTGGGAATTAAACCTTTCGTGTTATAAAGATCATGACTCTTAATTTTGGTGAGTTATTTTAGTCTAATCTTTGGCACGAGTGTGAGTGGAATACATAAAGTGGGAAAGAGAACGCCCCAGTGCGTAACTCAGAAGTTGCTGCATGCCCTTTCCGCGTCTTGAGCGCAAGTGCGCTTTCTGTGAGCGTGTTCGCTACACACCAGGTAGTCCTTAATAAGATCTGACATCCGTGATGCTCAGGGGTTAGTCTCAGCCACAGTAGCCTTCCCCCAAATTAGTTAAAGATTCTGATGTTAGAGAGGAGCCGATATAGCGTGGTCGATATAGCAACTGGCTACGGGCTCGACGACCGAGAAGTCGGGGTTCGAGTCTCGGTAGGGTCAAGAATTTTCACTTCTCCTGTCGTCCAAATCGGCTCTGGGGCACACTCAGCCTCCTATTCAATGGGTACCGGGGGCTCTTTTCCCGGGGGAAAAGCTGCAAGGGCATAAAGCTGACCACTCACCTTCAACTAGTGGCGAGGTGAAGAAAACGTGGGTCTATACATCACTCCCCCATACTCCTTAATGGCGTACTGCTTAATTAGCTGGGCACTGAGACAAATTTACCTTTTACCTTTACGATCAGTGTTGTAGACCCCAAGAGATCGATTTTCTGGAAATGTGGTGTGAACATCGTGCCATGAAAGGCGTCCCATCTTCGTACTTTTCCATCCCTGTTCTCCGATGATACTGAAACGACGGACACAACCAACACTTGAGTTTGAAGCATCACACCTCACAGCCCTATGGGCCTCCACGGCCTGTTGCAGGGATAGCTCTACCTTTGCAAACAATTCAAGCAGTGTCTTCAGAATTTCTGTGCTGATAATCGTTAAAAAATATTTTATTAACATAATAATTTAGGAAACTCGAAAATATGAAAGTCGTGCGAATTGTTTCCATGTGTTTGTATTACACGATAAATCATTATACAAGTAATCTGACATTTTAAATTTGTGTATCAACATGTTACAAATACGCTTACAAATATCATTAAAACACGCAAGGTATAATGCATGGGAATACCAAAATATACCGCGTCATCGGCGGGCACCTTTATGATCATCATCACCAAATTTGATTGAGCTATTAGCCTGTTCCGGCTACAAGGAATAAAACCATTCCGTCTTTTTATTGGACGTATCTAATTCTTTTAATTTTCTGCTTATTTTGAGCAGCTTTGGGACTGTGTTTTCGTACGTATTCGAAATACTGAGATTCATTTCTTTTGAACTAATTTAATAACGTTTTTAAGAGTTTTTACATGTAAACCATTCAAGTTTATTCAAGATGGTCGCCCTCAGAATTTGATTTGCGGGCCAAGTGACTTCTACTTTGCTAAACTGTTTGACTGGCAAGAAACAAGATCGATCGGTAAAAATAGACGTAATATTGAATAAAGGGAGTGTTACAAATGTTGACACAAGAAGAGAAAACGAATGAAATACGTTCGTGTGAATCGAAAGAGCACTTTGTTATTGAAAAATGTTATAAGATGAAAAATCAAGTGGGAAAGACAAATATCGGGCACCCTGCACACTCGGTGCTCTTCGATGTTAGCATACATCGACTTCCTACGGCTTGTATTGGGTTTTCAATCTACGAAATGTTCCTGCAGGATTGATTGAAAGTGAAGGGGGGAGGCGGGTTTGAGATTTACGTGGAAAGAGTCCGATTAACGAGAAGCCAGCGACAGCGCTTAGACAGTTGTGGAAAAATTGAAATGAGACGCGTATAGAGTAAAACTTGTATCTTACACATCCATAGGCCAGTACACATAAAGGGGTTGGACAAAATAATGGGAACACTCAGATAGTATACACATCTTTTTAATAATATGGTGTTTGATCAGCTTTTGCAAGCCGCAGTCCTTGGAATGGACACGTACAAGTTTTGAACAGTCTCTAGCGGAATTTTATACCATTCTTCTTGAAAACATCTTCAAGTTGCTATAGAGATCTTGCAGGTGGGAATGTCTTCCCCTCTCTAGTCTCCAATACTGAGCAGAGCGGTTGAGTGATGTTCAAATCCGACGATCGTGCTGGGCAGGGAAGATGTTGAAGTTCACCTTCATGCTCTTCAAACTATGATAGAACAGTTCCAGCTTTATGAATTGGTGCATTATCGTCTTGGAAGACTGCATCGTTGTTCGGAAGTAACGTCTGGATCATGGGATGCACCTGATTACCCAACCTGTCCACGTACTCCCTTGTAGTGGTTCGGTCATGACGGGCAATAATGGGAGCAACAGAATACTGTACCAAGATACTGCTGCCCAAACCGTCACAGAACCTCCTCCCTGTTTCACTGTTAGAACCAGACATTCCGGGTTCTAGGATTGCTTCGGCGTTCTCCAAACGTTAACTCTTCCTGATGTAGAGAACAGCGTGAAGGACGACCCATCTGACCATACCACGCGTTTCCAATTTTCTGTTGTCAAGGTTTTACGGTCATGAAACCATCATTTACGCATGTCAGCATTACTTTCAATAATCAGAGGTTAGCAGTCGCAGCCCTACCCTGGATGCTGGACTCGTGAAATTCATGTCGGGCAGTTTTTGTGGAAACAGAGTCTTCAGTTGTGATGCAGTTCACCTGTGCTGCAGTAGTTTTGTGTTTTTTCGAAACAGTCCTTGTCAATGTACGACGATCTCTTTCTGTCAGCGTCGAGTTTCGCCCCCTGTTCGCCTCTTCGCTGATGTCGCCTTCCCGTGATTCATATGCTGACATATCCTTAGGACCTGTCGCTCTCGATACACCTAATAACGAGGTACTTTTTATCACAGAAGCTCCAGCTAAACTTGCACCAACGATCTCTCCTCTTTCAAAATCGGACAAGTCTGCCATTTTCCGAATCTTTCATACGATCTGTCTATCAGAACAATCACTAATTCACTTACACGAGCACTACAGTGTATAAACAAACGGAAGAACATTCAGTGTTGCCAGCTGAAATACTTTCTTTGTAGCCAAAACAAACGAAATCTGTTCCTCAATTATTTATTGTTTCCACTATTTTATCCACTCCTGTACATATGTTATGTGCTGTGATGTCTCATTATAGGTTCAGAAAAGGGTCATGAGTATGTATCATATTTGTTACGTGCTCTTAAACAAATTGTATACAATGAACGCATGTATGTGAGTCGTAGAAGGCAATGAAAAGGGAACCCGGTGCTTGGGGGTATAACTGGGCCACCCTGTCACTGGGAGACCTAAGTACAGGGGCCTGGCCTTCCAGGTTGGGAGTTGGACGCAAGGCCGACGACCTGGCTCTAACACATTAATGCTGCAAAATCCAAAGCAGTGAAAACCGAATGGCAAGTCTGGCAGAATCTGATAAGGCTAAAACAATCTGTTTTACCAATGATGGTGATGACGATGATGATGATGTTAATGGTTCCAACAGCCGGTGCATCAGTCGAACGGTCGTACTCTGCTCTGAAGAAGGTCCATACTTAACGCCTGCAGCGCGCAGACAGGGAGACATACTAACACGCACATTAAGTTATCATTAATGAGAACCTAGAAACAAATTATTCTAGACTTAAAAAGTGTCCGAACTTCTGTGACTGATATTGTCGCTGAAAAGAAATCGTATGGAGCACAACTGCAGGGTGCAATAAAAAAAGCAAGCCCAGTAGTAGCTTACCATTTTTTTAGTTTACACTTCTTTCCTATTTTCTATTTCCTTTCCATTCTATCCTTAACTTAATTAATTTGTAGTTCACATTTGCGTAGATTTCTTGTACAATGTATGTACTCAATATTTACGAACTCCCACTCCCTCGGGGTCTGGCTAACACGTTTGGAAATATCGCTTCCCGCCACTAGTGTTATATGTGTATT